AAAGGTGTATTTAAGATGAGAAGGCCAAATGATGAGGTGGGGGAAGAGTTATATTGAGTTCATTTCACCACTGCATGTTTCTTCAGGGAAGTTTCCTTGATCTTGTAGACCTAGGGAAAAAAGGACTGTGTGGTTAGAGAAATGACCTCTACCCAGCTGTGAATGCTTACATTTTCATTTTTTTTAGCTCTCCTTATTTCTTGCCTATCCAGATGTCCATGCTTTTTATCTACCGTCTTTTTATCTCTTTTTTCTTCATTGATTTTTGTTTTTGTCTATGCATATAGATGGCTGTATGCTTTTGCAATGTACTTCTTGGCTTCAGAGACCCTGGAGCCTGACTCATGGAAGGCTGTAGGAAGGCAGAAGTAGCTAACGTGCTGAGATTTTGACAGTTCTTCCTTTATTTCCGGGATATTTTGGAATAAATCAGGATGCTGAGTGGGAAATTAACAATCCAGGAATTTATCTGGATTTTGTGCCCCAGAAAGTGAGAATAAAGACTGAAATATAAGCTGTTAGATTTTAAACCATCCACGTCTTACTGAGATGATGTTAAAATGAAAGATGTAAACAAAGAAAACTCTGGAAAGCATTAATGTTGTTGTAAGATTCTTACTCATACAGAGTGAGAAATTTTTAGTAATATGAAACCTTCTTTAGTCAATCAGGCTGATCATTTTGAGATGCCAGCTCTTTAATTAATAGACACAATCTTTAAGAAATATTTTCATTTTTAAGGATTTTCTTCTGATAGTACTCTGGGTTTTTTGCTATTTAGTTTGTTTGTTTGATTTTGTTAATTTGTTTTGTTTTTAGTTTTCCAGAGTTTATAAGCTAGTGATTTGGAATCATTTATGCATATGTAAATGAAAGCAAACTTCAATGAGAGGCTGCCAACTCAATCAATACTTTGTTCACCCTAAGGTAAAATCTGGGGGAAAAAAAAAAAAAAAAAAGCAAACTTAAATTAGTATTTCCTCTGAACAGAAATGAAGATAATGTGTCATACTGCCTGATGAAGTATCTGAAAATGTACGAAGTAAAAGGACTCAGTGTAAAATTATTACTCTCTCCCTTTAAAGGTCATCTGCAGTGACTCATGCAGATAATGATAGATCCTGAAGAACTTTCAGTAACTTTCTTAGGGGGAGCCATCTACTCTTTTGTCTGCCCACATTCATCTTCATGTTCCATCACTGAGTTTAGTCAGCCTAGTCATGCTTTTAGATTGCCCTTCATAAGTCAATACTGTTTGTTCCTAATCATCTTCTGTCCTTCTCTGGCCTGGAAATGCCTTCTGTGAGGTTTTTTTACTTCGTTTTCCCAGGAACTGAGGTGGATGCTTCAGGAAACTACCTAGATCTCCTTTCTCACTTTTTTTTTTAAGTTGTATGTAACAATTTACATTTATATACATTTGGTACTTTAGTTGTATGTGTCTAAAGTGAGGGTTTTGGATGTGCTGTGCATTTTTTTAATGCACAAGTAAATCAGACTTGCGCAGCATGTTTCTCAGTACGATTCTTGGTCTGAGGCAGAATGAATGTTGACTGCTAGGTTAGCAACAAATAATTTAAAAAAAATATCATGTAGTTACTTAATTTTAGCAGGTAGAATATATTTAGTTAATACAGTCAGGGAAGAGAGTACATTTATTTTCCTTTTTCTGAGTAATTTTTCTACACATTTTTATTTATTTTAAATTCCTTCTTGCACTAGGTAGTTACTGGTGATCTCATTTGAACAATGACTAAGACACTTGTCCTTCTTGTAGAATATAGATACTGTGTTAAAACTTCTTTTAAAAGAAGTCCAAGTGCCAAGAAAATTTGTTAAATAAGATTGCTGATGAGGTTGTAGTGTTTTCTCTGGATGTCTGTGTGTAGGAAAGTGGTGGGAATTAGAAGAAACAGCTTTGTTTTTATGCAAATACAGGAAGAATAGGAATGCCCTGAACTGAATTATACTTTTTGTTTGAAGTTTCTTTGCTTGCTATTTTCTCATGGCAGCAGTTGGTAAAAGATAGGGATCTTTTTGGTTGGGTTTAACTATCACTTATTAGTTTGTACATCCAATTTTATGGTTTAGGCCTTGCAGCCAGTATGCATTTTTTCCCATCTTTCTTCAAGAGACCAGAGTTGTTATGAATATGTACAGACAGAACAAGCAGGGCTGACAAAGTTACTACAATTAAACTTTCCTTTTTCTACTGATCTTAAAGAATGGGGAGATGTTTCTGAATGCTATCATAGTTTAGCGATTTATTTTGTGAAGTAAAATGTAATTCAGTGCTAATAATACAAAGTAGTAATAATCTGAGTTTACAATAAGCATAAATATTCTGAATTATGTTTTATGGTTTAATGTAAGAGAAGTTTCATAGTGGTGCTTCTGAAGATATGGTATGACTAATTCTGAAGATACGGTCTTTCTAATGTACAAAAGTCTCTGAGAGACAACAGACCTTAGGTTTATGTAGAAAAGGAAATTCAATAGCAAAACCAATACAGAAGCTTTCAAGTGTTTAAGATTTAAATCTGCAAACACATTCAGATTTTATTTATATTTTACCCTTTATACTGTAAGTTTTATTTTACATTTATATTACTTTGTCCTTCCCCTAAAAATAGAATATGCCCTTTGCTGATACAAACTGGAATTGTAGCATACTACATACCCATTCTTTCGGTAACTCTTGATGCTCCTGATAATGTTCTCTAGCTTGATCAGCATTCCTCCTCAGGTCTGCTACCCTTTGTTTTTATGACCTGTTTTTCTTATTTTAATGCCTGTTTTTTTTTTTTTCTTTTTTTGTCCTTCATCTGTTGTCCTTCCTGCTGATGTTCATTTTTTTCCCCCCATTGCTATATATTTGTTGATCAGAAATACAACTTTACTGTTGCTACTGGAAAAGCTGATGTTCGGAAAGACAGAAGCATCGTAATCTCTTCTAGAGAAGTTGTATAACTTTTCAAATATAAACAACATTGTTTGCTTGGCACCCTTCTGAATTAATCTGCATTTTTGTTTCCAGCTGTGTGAACCCACTACCTGCTTGTATCAGTTTTAAAGCAGCTATTTCCTAGTTCTGATCCCCCCTGGTCAAGTTTTTATTCATTTTAAAGTGCTCACATTATGCATGGGTAACTTGAAAATGCTAGTATGTCATGCTCCTGTTGTATTTATATGCATTCTAACAATTTTTCTGGCTGATGTATATTGACATCAAACTCCCTTCTGTCAGGTCATAATGTCACATAGACCTGAGTAAAATAGCAAAGACAAGTTCAAGATAAGTGTCCCTTTTGAGCATTTTACAGTTCTTAAGCTGTGTCAAAAAGCTTGATTTGATTTTGTCTCAGCGTATGGCAACTAAATCCATTAAAAAAAAAGAAGTCAAAAAGAACACAGTGAAAACAGCTTTGCAGTTCCAAAATGTCTCTGTAGGAGGTGATTGCCAGATGGAAGTGTTTGATCTCTAAGGAAGATGGAATCAGCTTGCTTCAACCCCTATCCATAGCAAAGACACTGCTGGATACCTCTTTGGTTAACTATATAACTAATACTTCTTCAGCTCCCATTTACAAGTTTGTATTGCATAACCAAATGTTGATGAAGCTCTGTAAGCATTAAATATTCATTATACTCAGAAGATAGTAATTGCTGTGATATATATTGTTTTCTTACATTCTTATGGAATAATTGTGATGCTTTATTGCATCTTTAATTCCTTTTATAGGGTTATTTTGGGAATAGTTATTTTTTGTGTAAGCTTTTGACTAGGAACATCATCTTTAAATCCTCTAGTGTCTCATACAGGAACTGGCATCTAAGGGATTTTGTGACTTTCTTAAGTTCTGTGTCATGCAGGTATTTCACATAGGTTAACATCTCCCTGTCTTCTTAAAAATCATGTTTAGCTTTATACTAGGAGTGTAGTATTTAGAATGTATAGGTATTTGCACAGGAGGAAAGGCACTGTAATGTGTATATATTTTGATTATTAAGGTTAAAATTAATAGCTCGTAGCTCTGCTGTGTCAAATCATTTAGACTGAGTTGGCAACAGTTGCCACAGTGTACAGAAGATGAAGAAAAAGACATTTCCTCATTTTTTAAATGTAGTTCATGTTTGTGAAGTGATAATGAATTCTAATGAGGGAAATTCTAATAAGAGAATTTTGTAGGAATGAAAGCTTAATAGAAAAGAGAAATTGTGTCATCAGGGGAATGACAGAGTTGGCTGAAGAGAGGATATTGTGAGGCGAGAGGACTTAATGAAATAATGTTGTTGTAAAGGCAGGCTGATGATGCTATCTGTTGATAACTGATTAATTAAGAAGCATATTTGTACACTAATATGATATAAAATATTCATAATAACACAGTAATATCACAAGAAGTATTGGTATAAAAATGTACTACTACCTATTACAGCAAATAACCAGTGTGCATTTTATAATAATGTAGTGTATTGCACTAATCCAACATACAATTTTAATACTATCCAAATATATTTCTCTATTAACATAAGATTTATCATAAAGATCCTAGCATGCAGGTTTAAAGAACTGAGTTGTTGGGGTTATTATTTTTTGTCAGTGATTAATCTTTTTCTAGAACCTTTTGTCACCACAGTTTTGAGAGGGTCAGTAATAAGTAATAGCGATAATCCCTTCAAATTTTAATTCAATTTACTACAAATATTCATAATTTATGTAAGACTTTATGGGTTTGATGTATTCTAACGTTTCATAACTGAGTATTTTATTGTTGTCCATAGGATAGTATGAGAATACCTTCAATTTCCATCAATCAGTACATTCAAGGATTTCACAGACAGTTGAGTTTAGATGTCATGTTCTAAGTTTGTTATCCAAGCCTGTGTTCGCCAATGTATTTCAACTGGAAGAAAAATAAAACACAGTTCAATGTCTAGAATGTGTATGATGGTGTGAAAGGCAAGCAATCTAAAAATGAATGTTGTTTCATTTGCAGAAAGCCATATTCTTGAGGACGTAAACAAGTGTATCATTGCATTGAGAGAGCAAAATGCTGACGATTTAGATCGTGCAGCAGGTGCGATCCGAGGGCGTGCTTCAAGAGTAGCTCATATTGTTTCGGGTGAGATGGACAATTATGAGCCAGGGGCTTATACTGAAAGAGTGATGAAGAATGTTCAGTATTTAACCAAGAGTGGTAAGTCTCATTTCTAAACTATGTTTCCCATTTCTTAAATAGTATAAACATTCTTTTATATGCTACATTTAAAAGAAACTGTGATTTTCTTATCTAAGCATTAATCATGCACTTACGTTTCATTGTGTGGTATGTTATCTCCTTTCGGAATGCTGTCCAGTTATGATGATACCATACAGTTTGAAAATATTTTTTAAAAATTAAATTACTTTTTTTGTATAAGGATTTCAATATTTGGAAGATCTTCACTAGACATTTCACATAAACACTATTAGCAATGTCTGGAAACTTTTAACTGATCAGGCAGCAGCTTTCTGCTGTGTTTTATTGGCCTCACTGCTTCTGTTTTAGACAGATGAAAGGCAAGCTTACAGGGAAGGAGAATTTTTGTGTTTGTGTAAACCTACCGCTTTAAGGATTATTGAATTAAACATCATCAGATATTTTCACCATTTGCCATGCAAATGTGGAACTTTAGGAAATGTTTAGCAGCATCCATTTCCTTTTCTATTATATTTAAAAGAGAGCATTCTACATTGGAATATCTTCATATTGGGGGCAGGATTGTGAATGTCTCAGTCTGTAAATGATTTCTGGTGTTCATGTAAACACTGTAAATCTGAATATGATACAGAAGCTGGAGAGATGGAGATCAGGAGAGATGGAATATATATCAATTGTGTCTGTATATGTGCTGCTTTTTGTGAAAGACTGTCTAGCCAGTCTGAAATGTAATTTCTCTCAAGGAGAAAATAAGAGGAACTGTCAGCCATTTCTAATTAATGGTTTTTCTACTTGGCCTTCAAAGGGCATTTCAAAGCCATGAGGCTGTGTCCGTGTGAATGGGAGTGGTATTAATACTATTTGTGTATTTGAACACTAAATTTTTTGCCTTCTGTAGTGTATATACTCAATCAAAAAAAATCTATCTTTTCAAGTTCCAGTTTTCTTTATTTGGAAGTCTTAACAGTGGAGCAGTTACTGCCATTAAAATTCCATTAAGAAGTTTTCTCGCAATTGTGTGCATCTCTAGAATGTGGGATCCAGCTTCATGAACTCAGACATTTAAATCTTCTGTCAATCTAAACGGGTTTCTAGTGTGTTATGTTTGATTGATAATTATTTTACCTCAACATCTTTCATGATGAGTTCAAATAGCTCTGGGACAGAAGCACCTTTTTGTGAAGCAAGTGAACTGGTGTACTGAATAAGATACAAAAGCAACAGAATAGTGAAAATATTTTGGAATAGAGTTGTCTGGTTTCATCTCCTTTTTTGACCATTTCAAAAGAGAATCTGGAACTGGGTGTGTTTTCATAACTCTTCAACAGTTTTCATAACTCTTGAAAGTACTGTAACACATAATAGGGGAAGCTGCAATTACACGAAAACACTTCTTTTGGAACTGTTAATGTTTAAACGCATTAGCAATTGATACTGGTTTCTATTCTGTTACATTGCTGTGACAGTACTATGTAATATGCCTAAACCCATGTGTCTAGAAGAGACAAGAGAACTGTTTTGGGTTGTGTTTCTGAGTAGGAAACCCCTAGTTCCTCACGTTCCTATGGCCCGTCCAGGGTTCACGCCATCCCCGCTGTGACCCAACCATCTCACCACGTGCACACCAATGTGATGTTAGGCAGGATGGCGTTTATTGCAACTGAAACAGCAACTTATATACTTTACATGCTTATCTATGTTACTACGTCCATGTGCGTTTACTCATGTCTAGTACATCTGTGCCTCCAAGCGCGCGTCAGTCCCTTATCACAGAGCAGGGGAGGTCCTATCGCGTCACAGCCCGATACCCCGCAAACGCCTACTGCAACAGGGTTGGAATGTCTGGCTGTGTCAAGGGATGTCAAGCATGGTGTCATTTTAAGAAATGTCTTTGAGGCTAAAAAATCTAATATTAGATTATTTAGTTGTAAAAAGAAATATGTATTTTTCATTCTTACTTTTACTTATATAATCTGCCATGATAAACATCAATTAACGTGAGAATTTTGATTTGGTTTTATTTTTGTACTTTTTTAAAATATATGCAGAATGCAACTGAATTGCAGCCCTCAAGTTTAACTATGTCATTAACAGCTCTTTCAGGAGCTTACTAGTAGCAAGGTGAGATTTCACTAGGAGAGAACTTTGTACTTTTTCTGCCATTATCTCTTTAGTTAGCTTACATGAGTAACCCATTGCAGTGAAGAGCATCCTTTATGGATAATGAAAACGTAATATGCTACTGAAGAGAAATTATGGGAGTATACAATTATTGAAAATAAAATTATGGAATATTAGTGTACTACTTAGAAACTGGAAAGGAACAAAAATGCATGTGAAAGTACAAGAATCTGTCTGAATCTATCTCATCTTTTGGAACGCTTTGCATATATTTGAGATGGCAAAGTTATCTGTTCCCCAAATTATATTGTAATAGCTGTACAATGAGTGTTAAAAGTTGATGTCTAGGTTCCCAGCTCAAGCTGTATAATCCTGTTCAGATACCAGTTGTTTTTAACAGCCAGATAGATCTTAAGGCCGTGTATAATGGAGTGTCTGCTTTTTTAAGTTCAGTGTATGCCTCTCATCTGTTCTGTGCCTTCTCATACAACAAGAAGAAAAGCCAATCAATCACACAACAAAGCTCTGCAGAACACCAGTTAAGTTGTTGAGTCCAGTACTCTTAAGTTTGGTTAATACCAAAATAAAAGTTATCTTTGCACGCTTTACATGCATTATGACGTTATATTTACATGGTCATAAGCAGTTGGTTTAGACTGCTTAACTCAATTCACTGGATGGACTTTTTCAGATATTTATCAGTGTCACATTTTAAAGGGAACCATTGACCGTTGTATCTACTTTAAAAGTAATGGGGCAGAAGAATGCAGGAAGACAATTCAGTAGCTTAATTTATACTGTCCCTGTCTGTACAGAGTCCTTATGTGATGCTGTAAGTTCACATGGCTACAGATGAATTTAGGGTGCAGTATTGAGTAGTTTGAGCAAGCATTCTGACTACACCCTAGTTCTACATTGAGATGAGACAGTCTCCCCTTTTGTTCTCAGGTTTCAATGGGAAGGACATGAGAGTGTGGGTCGGAAAGAAAGTACAGAACATTTCATCAGCCCTCACTCCAGAGATTGGAAATCAGCATTGAGTATCATGTCCTGGAAATGCATGCTCCAGAGTTTAATATAAACTTTCACTGACTACTGGAGAAAAGAGTGTTCAGCCGTTTGTATACATACTTGATGCAGGCAGTAGTTTAAACAAGTGCTGTGTGTCTTAATTTTGCAAATGCAGAGGTGGTAGAGATGCAAGCTGGATTCTGACATGTTTAATGCTGGAAGTGTTAATATTGGTACCTCTCCATCATCCCTAATTGCTGGCAGCGGATTAGATTGAAATATGCAGATCCTTGCATTTTCATAGGATTTGTGTACTGTTGCTTGAAAGCAAGATGAAACTTTTAAGAAAGAGTGACTATAAAAACATAGGTTATTTCCATTTCAGTGCAAGAATAATATAACTGTTTAAAATATTTAGTGTATTTCTTTTACTACCTTCCAGATAGTAATTAATAATAAACAATTTATCTTATGACATCTATCTGATTCTATGGTAAAAAGGCCCTTTTTTTTTTTTTTAAATATTGCCTATAGCTTTCTTTCATTGCCAAGCATAATGATGTACGTGCATATTCTTTTTACATACATATGTCTGTATTCATACATTTATAAAGTATTCTAGTTATTTAGATCTAAGATTCATGTAAAAAAAGGGAAAAGAGTAAAGAGAAATACTTTAACAATCTTAAGGAACTAGTGGAAGTATTATACTCTGAATCACTAGAGCTTTGAGTCCATTTGTTTTTATGCCAGCAGTGCTGAGGGCTGCCCATTTTCCACAGCTTACTACAGACAGAACTATGAAATATCCTGTGTAATTCACTTATGTATAGAGCTTAGCTTTAAGTTTAGGAATACTTATTAAACTACTTTTGAAATAAAAAACAAATGTAACCATTCTCAGACAGTAGGTCAGCTGTAGGCATTGCTCTGAAACATCCATCATTCAGAAACACCGTTTTGTGTGCTGAAACACAAAATACTGACCTGCTCTATCTGAAGTGTGACTGAACATGAATCAAGACAATTTAATATGTAAGACAGAACAGTAATAGATGCCAAATGTAAAACTATACATGGATTTGAAGATTTCTTCCTGCCTCCGGAAATATGTATGTCACTCCAAAAGCAAGGCCTCCTATTTATTTCCAGTGAAACTACAACAGGTACAAAGAGCAAAGTAACAGTTTGATAGAGAACATTCTCAGCTATAAAATACTGTTTTTTAACATAAATACCACCAGTAGCTGTTTTCACCACGGGTGTTTTTTATGTGGTTCATCATCCGGTTAAGTACAGGTTTTTAGATATTTCATAACCAGGGAAGGTCTTGTATCTTACAGTTCCGTGACATACTTTGTGAGGCTTGAGGAGCTTTCAGTAGAGTATTACATATTCACAATTATTTGAGATAACACTTTGGTACTAAGGAAATTTTTGGCCCCATTGTCTTCTATGTAGGACTGTTACTTCTATTGAAAGACCGTCTCAAATTCCTAGCATTTGTACGTGGCCAGTTTGTATGTTTCTTTTGTTGGTGTGAACCTGGATTAGAAAATACTTGGCCACAGAGTGCCAAAAATGTTTACTTTTGAGTCCTTCTTTTGGACACTTTTAATTTGCGTTTAAAATCATTTACAAGTCATGTTACCTTCTTTGAAACATTTTTCTATAGTTTTGTACTGAAATTCATTCAGTTCTTCCTGACCCAGTTTCTCTGCTCTATTGGTAGTGTTTTCACATCACATGGTTTGCCAATGTCAATAAAGAATGTATTTATATTTTACATCTTGACCCCAACGTAGATATTTTGGCTACTTTGCAGTGTCTCCTCTCACTTTGCAAGTGACCAGTTGTACAACCTC